GGGGCGGTAGTATCAGAGGTTTTTTGTTTGTTTGTTTTTTCAAATCACAGAACTTTGGATTTTTTTTTAACAGAGAAAACCAGGATCCCTGCTTGTAACTCTGGCTTAAAAAAAGTTAGGACTTTTTTTTTTTTTTATTAGTGAAAGACATCACAACAGCCTGGTAAATGAAGTTCCCTATTCACGTACAGTTCAAGCAGGCTGCCCCATGAACAGGTGTAGGAGGGAGTTTTCTCTGGAAGAAATAGAGGTATAGAGTTCAGTTTCCACAGTCCATACAGCTCCTAACCCCTAAGCGTACTGATTTGCACACATGGGCCATGTCCAGATGAGCACAGCCATGTGGTATGTGGCAGCACAGACACATCCACAGTGCCACATACCACACATTCAGTTGTTCTCCACGCTGCAAGGGAGCAGCACAGAGGGGTTTTTTGACAGTTGGTTACCCAGGAGACAAAAAACCCCATGGAGAAAAAAATGCAGAGGCACATGCCACTCGAACGCGGAGCCAGGCCACCCAAAACCGTGCTCTGCATGTCAGAATCACCACTGATGCAGCCCCAGGAAGCCCCCAAGACCCCAGATAAGGCTGCTAGAGCCAGCCCAGTGCTGGCTCCAGCCTCCCCTACCCCACCCGGGGTAACTTGTCATGTGCCAGACCGTACGTGTCATGGGTATCCCCCCCAGGACAAGCAGCGGTGGCACAAAGTGTGCCACTGCTAGTTGTCCCAGGGAACCAAACATCCACACCATGTGTGGACACGGCCATGTAGTGCAGTTTGTCAGGAACAATTTTTTGTTCCCTTTTGAAGTTTGCTGGTTTTCATATTTGTGCCCTACAACCAAAAGGCTCAGAAGCACAATAGCAATGCTTGGAGACATCCAGCCCTTTCAAAAAGCTGTCTCCCCTGTCCCCATTCTTAGAGCGCCCAATAATCAAAACACAAATGCTATAAATAACTTTTGACACAATATCCCAATTCACCAATATACAATTATTGCAATAGTTATTCCTGGGCACGCTATTTTATTCATATATATTTCCTCCCGTTGTGGATCATTAGCCAGAACTGAGCCCGCTGCACTGCTGAAACAGTAAAGACCTGTGCTAGGTAACTGGTAAGTGAGTCATGATATCAGCAATGTGTAGAACATGCAGTGAGATATCACACACATTCACAACTATCTGTGAGCCATCACTATAGTGCTGGATATTTCTACAAGAGGAAGATTTAAGAACATGGCTGGAATTGAAGCCAGATGAAATCTGAATTAAATACACAG